TCATGAAGCTAGCAAGTAGACCACTAAGCTCACTTTGCCCTCGCGGATCATACATTGGTGGCAACACACTACCAACCCGATCCCCCAAGAAATGGAAACACTCCCCGCTCAAGGTACAAACTGTGACCCTCTGGCGGTAGCAATAAATAACAGCCCGGTATGACGATAGCCAGTCCATACCCAAAATAACATCAAAACCCTTCATGGGCATGACAAAAAAAAAAAAGGAAGCCTATGGTCGGCGACCTCTATATCACAACCGCTAACACCTTGTTTCAAGATCAACTCACCACCAATAGACGATACCACACATATAGGAGATGCTAACTGTGCTAACTCTAATTCTAAAACAGATGCAAATGCAGATACAAAAGAATGAGATGCACCCGTATCAATCAATACATTAGCAACCGAGTTGCAAAACAAGAAGGTACCTCTCAGAACTGATGGAGCCGGTACTAGATCCTGCGTGGTAACAGGATACACGCGCCTTGTAGGCCCCTGATCTACCTGCTCACCTCTAGGAGCAAAAGACTGCTGCATTGACTGGGATGACGAAGCTCCCGGATTGGCCCTCGAGGCCTGCACAGACTGAGCTGGCTGATAACTCTACGTCTGCCTAGAACCAGACACTCTTGAAGTAGCACTCAACTGTGGGCAATACCTCTTCAGGTGCCCAGGCTGACCACACTGATAGCAAGACAAAGGCTGGCCCCTGCCCTGACTCTGGCCCTGAGGTCTAGCTAAAGATGAAGCAGCTCGCTGACCCCCTCCCTTCTGTGGGCAAACCGAAGACTTGTGACCCAGCTGGCCACACGCAAAACAAGTCAAGCCTCCCTGACTACCTCTCCCAGAGCCCGTACTCGGCACTGGAAAGGTCGATCTAGCCACACCACCCTGAGACTGTTGAGGGTTAGAACCCCTCTGTCTCCTGCCGTCACCCTGACCACCATGGCTCATCTTGGAGCCTCTCTGCCCCTCATCCTCCTCCTGCATCATAATCTCCATATAAGCAGCAGCATCCACCAAACGTCTGTACTCTCGGATGAAAGATCCACCAACCCTCAACTTGAGGCCTCGCCTCAACTTCCGCTCAAACTCAAAGCAACGGTGTTCCTCGGACGCCACTAGTTCAGGTGCAAACCTGGACAGACTAGTAAAAGTAGCCTCAAACTCGGCCACTGACAAGCCCTGCTGTCTAAGCTGGAAAAACTGCTCTCTCAGCTTCTCCCTAGCAGCTGCAGATACAAACTTCTCGTAGAAAGCATTCACAAACGCCACCCATGCACCACCAACACTGCCCTTCTCGTACTTCCACCATTAACCCGCATCTCCTTTCAGCTGGAAGGATGCCAAGGTCACCTTCAAAGCCCCATCCTCGATGCCCAGCATCTCGAACGTCTTCTCCATCTGTTCCAACCACTCATCAGCCCTAAGTGGCTCCTTTGGATCCCCAACAAACTCGCCCGGGTTAGACCGGAAGAATTCCCTCTTCAAGAAAGAAGGCCCTGCCTCAGCAACCTAATTCTCAGCTTTGAGAATACCCAAAGCTCCCGCTATCTCTCGGGCCAAGGCGCCCAAAGCCTGCTAACCCGCTGGCTCGGCCACGTTGGCCTGACCAACTCCCTCCTGCACTGCCGGAACGTCATCCGGTAGAGGTACCTCTTGCCTACCATGCCTGCCACGCCTACCACGCCATCGTCCTGACATCCTAATGAAGGTAACCAAGACTATTAGCATATTCACAAATGTGCCGAAGTTATAACACTCGCGTCCTAATGCATGGACAACTGTAATTCACTCCACGTAAGCACATAAACACATAAGCACTTACGAATTTCATTTCCGGATAATGATAGTCCCGAGGCGTTACCAGAGTTCCGGTTAGAAACAGCATTGATCAAGTGTCTTTCCAACAAGACCCACAGAAACCCAAGGATCCAATCAACATCCTAGAAACTAAATCCCATACCCACATAGTCACATAAGCATGTTATCAGTTAAGCACATGGCATATGACACTACATCTAAGTCTCTATCAAGCGTGACAAACCCATTGTGATCCTAATCACTTCCCACGTACCCAAAGTATTCGAACCCGGTACGCTCTGATACCAAGTTGTAACGCCCTCAAAATAATACTTAATACCCAACATTTCAAACATGCATTGATATAAAAGAAATCAACCATTTCTATTTATCAGAGTAATTCTTACAACTGCATTACATGTTAACAACAAAAGCAAATGCCCTGTGGGCTTACAGCTTTCCAAGTTAATACTTGGTTACAAAAAAGAAGAGTACTAACTCAATACATATTAAGCCCTTGGCTGGAATTTACATGTAATACATCAAAATAAACAAAAGAAAGAGTCTTCAACCCTCATTATCATCCAAGCTACATCCTTGGAGGTGGCATACTACCTGTACCTGAAAATAATGTCCCATAAAGGGTGAGCCAACGCCCAGTAGAGATATGCTAAACATAGCATGAGCAATAACTAAGACATTAGAAATTGATAAATGTTCAATTTTCACAAACCAATTCATAACCCATTTCCATCTCATGACCACTACGTTCATGTTTCAGTTCAGTTTCCATTTCTTATCAATTTCATAATTTACATCAATGGCTCAGAACCTGGCCAACCACTTATATGAGACAGTGACTCATATTAAACATTTCTCATTATCACAATAGATAAACATACTAGTTGTATCAACATCTCAACAGGTAAGCATACAAGTTGTACCCACATTTCAACAGATATGCATATTAGCTATATCAACACTTTAATTGACAAGCATATGAGCTGTATTAGTGGAGTCCATCCCCTATCTCCCCACACACACAATGCATATATACACAAAGGTCATATACACAATCAATCAATACATAACGTTAATGTATTCTATCAACCGTTATACTGTATGACATAACTAATTGATTAGTTTTAGTTTGCCTAATCGTCATGCATTGTCTACAACAATCAAAACTTCCCTCCACCGGTAGCCCAAGCAATTATTTCTAAACAGATAATAAAAGCTCCAACAGATAAAATATCAATGTTTTCAAAGGTGAGCGATTAATGAATCTAACTCCATTATTCAACCATATAATGAACCAATTTCATTATTTTTGACTCAATTCCATAAAGTAACAACTTTCCCAAATTAATTATACGAATTAATTTAAACAACAAATTAGGGCCTTCTACCCCATTTCTCAATATCAACTCAAAGGTTCAAATATCACCAACCAACAAGTATATCATCATTTTGAAACCCAAAATACATATTATGAGCCCAAAATCACAAAACCCTCTTTAACACATTTTGAAACCCTAAGTCCCAAAATCAACCATTTAAACAATAGGCTCAAAATCTAGGTTAAAACCCATAAGAGTGAGTAGGAATCCCTACCTCAAAAGATGAGACCCAACGAGGAAGATGGTAAAAACGAAGTTGCTCCAAACCACGAGTTTCTCGGATCAAAAGATAGCCCTCGACGATCAACAACCTTTTTGTAAAGGCCAAAGGTGAGGAAAACACCCTAGCTAGATCAATATCTAGAGAGAAGGCAAGGTTTTAGAGAGAGAGGCTCTCAAATGGCCTTTTCGGAAAAGTAAGAGAGAGAATGGGTGAGAAAAAGTGATTTAAAACTGCCCCACAGTCAACTGATATACGACATTCCCGCTCGAGCAGAAAACACAACGCTCGAGCGTCAAGAACAAAAACTAGGTCCGCTCGAGCGCAAAAAGGTCCGTTCGAGCTCCAAGACACAAGAATAAAGCAAATCCGCTCGAGAGCGAAAACCAGTCCGCTCGAGCGTAGATTTCCCCCTCCCAGAACTTACACCCAAAGGTACCACCCGCTCGAGCGCCAAGTACCCGCTCGAGCGTAAAAATCACACCTGCAGAAGTTTTGCAGGGACACGAAAAAATTGGGAGCGTGCAATATCCGCACGAGCGCAAGAAGACCCGCTCGAGCGGACCTCCTAAAATCTGGGCAACAAAGAATTGAAACCAAAGCCAAACCAACCTATAACAACTCTTCCCAATGCATCCTAAAACTCAATCAAGTGGAATTAAAGGATGACAACAAGGTGTACCACTAGCAACATCACGGAACCGAGTCCGGAATACAACAAAACAGTAAAGGGGCAACCGGGATCGCTATAATTCTTGCATAGAAGTCATTTTGTTACCCCTCCATTTCTAAAAGAATTGCAAAGGAATATGGATTTTGTATAATTGTCAGTTTTCAAATGATTCCTTAATACATGAAAAGGTGAACATGTTTACAGCATGAACAAGGCAATGTATTGTGTGCATTGCCTCTTCAGGGGGCTATAAATGATTTGGTTTAGTAGTTATGTTCTGAAGGCCTAAATTTGAATTCCTTCAATGGAACCCATTTAGATTTTTCTAGTATTTGAAGGAACCCATTTAGATTGTTCTAGTATTTGATGATGGAAAATTTGCTTTCTGGGATTCAACTTATGATTATAACATTTTGCTTTCAGTTTATTGATTTCTTTTAATGAGAAGCCATTTATTTTATTGTTATTAATATTTTTCTTATTGTTAGCTATTTCATCAATACCCTTATTCTGCCTACAATAAATGGGCCTATGGAGGGTCTAATGCTAATATATATGTGGTCCATTTCTTTACAGCTATAGTTTGTATGACCCTTTTGTATATATATATATATATACATTGATAAGTAGCCCTTTTACATATTTAAGGCACTCATTATAGACATAAATATTTTAACCAATTAATAGGTTTCAAAAAAACTCATTCATTGATTAGGTTTTTATTTTTTTAGCTGTATTTCACTATAATATTAATTTTGTCTCTTTTTCAGTTGCTAAGTGATGGGCTCAACAATTTGGAAAGTCTTTGCCATTTTTGAGTTAGGTTCCAGTGATAAATGGTATGACTCATGGATAGAATAGGATGTCTAGAAACACATAGACAACTAAAAATTTACTCATGGCTAGAACATGGTAATTTTAAGTGTGCTTTCTATGGAGGAAGTGTTCATGATTTGTCAAATCATATTACTTCAGAACTCCTTTGAAACGAATAACTCAACCAATTAAATTTTGTACGTATGATTTAAACTAGAATGAAAGAATAATGGGCTTTCATACTAGAATGGGCTTCTCTAGGTTCATCTCTCTCTCTCTCTCTCTCTCTCTCTCTCTCTCTCTCTCTCTCTCTCTCTCTCGCTTGCATGGTTTGCTGTTTGCTTGCCATACATTGTTGGTTGTTGAGTCTACTAACTTAACACTTTTGGGAATAGAGCTCTACTTCTATGAGCTTCTATTTGCACACTAGTCTTTTTTTTCTTTTTTCTTTTTTTTTTGTTGCTCAGTTCTCATTACTTTGTCAATTGTTAACAAAAATTCATGGTTCGGATTCAGTAGTTAATATACGAATAATGGATTTTTGTTTAGTTGATACTCGAAAGAGAAAATGGTGTGAATTGAAAAGTTTTATGGCCTATTCGTGTCTTGTCGTTCTAGTATCTTTCTCATTATGCACTCTATTTTATTTGTCTTCATGCATTGTGTACTCTATTTTGCTTCTCATTGTGCATCTTGTTTTTGCCGTCTATTTGTCTCTCCATGTGCAACAAAGTTACACATAAGGAAAAGTATTAACTTGATATATATATATATATTGTTGGATTTATTTCTAATACCTTAAGATTTTTGGATAATTATTTCCTAATACCTTGGTCCTAGATTAATTGGCGCAGATATTGGGTTATAAAAAAAAAATAGTTGCCTTGAGATGAGGGTTTTTTTTTTTTTTGTGAGTGTGTGTGTGTGTGTGTGTGTATTAATTTGGGAATTGAGTTTTAATTTGTTGTGATTTTGGAAGGTATATTGCTAAGGGAAATGGCATATTGCAACATCATCAGCTGATTGATGAGTTTGAGAATGTTGTTGGAGAAGATGGAGTCATGTAGGAGCTCAAAGAGAGTCTTTTTAGCCAAATTCTGAAGTTTGCACAGGGAAGTGCGGCACTAACTGTAAAGGTTACAACCTAACAGGACCATTTGAAGGACTCATGGAAATTGAATTACTAAAAAAAAATAAATTAAATTGTTATTTATTTTTGGTATTCCAATCTAATAATTGTTTCTAGCAGCTATAATGCGAAAAAAACATGAAAATATATATATGTATATATATTTTTTCCAGAAAATGAAAAAAATGTAGTATTGATAGTATTACATTCATTGTCAATTCTGTGAAATTTTTCTGTGTTTATAGCATTACACAATAATGTTGCCTTTTGTCACATCATTAACTAATCTTGTCTTTATGGCTGTGTCTGCCATGTATTTGCATGTGTATATATAATTTGTATGTTTTTTTTTCTTTAATTGGTGCATTCTCCCAAATACCCCTTAATGCCCTACCCCTTCCAAATCCATCCAAACACCCATGCCCCTACCGGGGCTTGAATCCCCAATCTTCGCTGTGGAAGTGTTGGGGTGATGTCACTAGGACACAAGGCCATCGACCATATTTATGTGTGCACATATATATAAGAAACCCAAATTACTTCACTTTTCATTTTAATAAATTGTTCTGAAGCTTAGAGACTTGTTTTATATCTTAGTTTCTTCGATTTGTTTTGATTTTTATTTCATGCAACTGAATGTCAAGGATAGGGAACCATTTTATTTGGGAAACATCATCCACAAAAAGTCTAGTTATGTAGATGATCGCCATTGAAATTAACATCTCTTAGTTAATATTTAGCATGAGAAGATGATTTGTTTAGTAGCATAAACTGAGTCTGTTAATGCACATAGAAAATAAGCCCATGCTCGTTTAAATGTCAGCATTTCACTTTTCCAGTAAATAATCTTATTTCTATTTTTGGTGTTGATTTTGTGTACCAACTGCATTATGCTTCTAGTTTCACAATTATATTCTTTGGAAGCCTTTTAGAATAGTGGCACAATATATGAATTCTTTTTCTGTTTATATTTTGTTTAGATCCTTTTTGCTTGCACACTTGATTAATACATCACAATTGCAGGAAGCTATAGTTCTACCCCCATTTGTGGCAATAACAATTCGCCCAAGACCTGGTGTTTGGGAATATGTTCGTGTCAATGTGTATGAACTGAGTGTGGAACAATTAAGTGTTTCAAAATATCTTTGCTTCAAAGAAGAACTTGTGGATGGAGAGTAAGGAACCTCCCCTCAAATTTTTTAATCATTATTAATCTATCCCTTTGCATAATTATTTAATTCATCACAAGTTTAATTGGAATCTAGAATTTGGAACCTGGTCTAGGTTCAATGAAAATTTTGTGCTAGAACTTGATTTTGAGCCATTCAATGCAACATTTCCTAGACCAACTCGGTCATCTTCCATTGGCAATGGGGTTCAATTTCTCAATCATCACCTGTCTTCAATCATGTTCCGTAATAAAGAAAGTTTGGAGCCTTTGCTTCATTTTCTTCGCACCCACAAACATAATGGTCTTGTAAGTCTTCTTAACTTTTGGCATTGACATTGTTTTGACAATCAATTTCTTGGGTGTTATCTAAAATAAAAAAATAAAAAAATCTAAATTTAAATACTATCTTTTTGTTGTTAAGCACGAGGGCAAGCTAAGATCGTGCAATTGAAGAATTAAAATATGTGTAGGTAGAGAGGGCCTATCATAGTACCCGTTATGCGATTTTGACCTTGAATGCTTGTATCACTGATCTTTTAGAGATAGACTAATCTCATTAGAGTTGTTATTTGTATTTTTTATTTTATTTTTCATTTTGTTAATAGGCTGAAATTTTGATCTGTCAGATGAGGCTTATTGTCCAGGAATTGTTGGATGTTAATTTTGGTTTCTGAGTCCAATAATTTGTTACACAGAAAAGAAGAAGGGAAAAATCTTAGTGAAGACTATGAGTAATGTTGTTGGACTCAAGTAACAGTTGAGCCATTGCATCTGTAATTTCTAGCATTGAGCCATTGTGCCATTGCATCTGTATTGTAATGAACTTGTAGAAAGTAGCAAATAATCTAGTCAACTGTGCAATGTGTACTCTCATCATTCCTCTTCAACAGTTACATATATTGCACCTAAATTTTCTATACAGTTAGATAAGTTTATAAATAGTTAATACAATTCAATGTTTAGGGAGTACAAACTGGTATTCTGCCAAACAGTTAATATAATTCCATGTTTAGGGAGTACAGTCAGAAAAGTTGCAAAACTCTCCAAAAAAATATTCGGAAACTGAATCTTGATAAACTAATTAAAAAAAAGGGCTCAAAAACCAAAATTAATATTAATATTATAGCAACATAAACTACACATTGTTTCTCCACACAGTTATGATCTTAGGTTACCATAGAAATGTACTCGATGGCATAAAAAATTGCATCACTCTATTTTTCAGTAATTCTTAAGTTTAGAGAAATGTATTTGACTAGACATTGACTATCCAATGAATTCAAATTGAATTGCCCTCCAAATTTTTTCTTCCAAAATTTACAAATAGATGGGTAAAATCCATATGGTCTACAGGGTGTAAGGAAGACAGTAATGCCATCCAACCAACAAAGGTACAGAGTTGATTGTTAAATCAAAGCTTATCATCATGATTATATATTATCACAAAAAACTAAAAAATGAAAAGAGCGTTTCAGGAGCAAAAATTCAAAACAGCACCCGAACGACCGCGTAACTCTCATGGATAGCTTCTCCATGACGAATAGGACTTGTGACAACTGACAGAATGTAATTCAGACCCATAAGTAGAGAATTAGAGCCAAATACGCCCTAAACTTACTCCAAAAAGAGCTTTCTGAGGGCGAAAATTCAAAACAGCCCTCGAACGACCGTGTGACTCCCACGAACAGCTTCCCCATGACAAATAGCATTTGTGACAACTGATGGAATGTAATTCGAACCCGTAGGTAGAGAGTTAGAGCCAAATATGCCCTAAACTTACAGAAAAAGAGCTTTTCAGGGGTGAAAATTCAAAAAAGCCCCCGAACGGCCATGTGGCTCACACGGATAGCATCACCATGACAAATAGGACTTGTAAGAACTGATAGAACGTAGTTTGGACCCGTAGGTAGAGAGTTAGAGCCGAATACGTCCAAAACTTAGTCGAAAAAGGGCGTTTCGGAGGGTGAAAATTCAAAACAGCCCCTGAACTACCGTGTGGCTCACACGGAGAGTTCCTCCATAACAAATAGGACTTATGATAACTAACGGAATGTAATTCAGGCCCGTAGGTAGAGAGTTAGAGCCGAATACGCCCTAAACTTAGTCGAAAAAGGGCGCTTCGAGGGCAAAAATTCAAAACAACCCCCGAACCACCATGTAGCTCACACAGACAGTTCTTCCATGACAAATACGACTTGTGAGAACTGACGGAACGCAATTCGGACCCGTAGGTTAGGAGTTAGAGCTGGATGCGCCCTAAAGTTAGTCGAAAAAGGGCGTTTCGGGGGCAAAAATTCAAAACAGCCCCTGAACGACCGTTTAACTCTCACGGATAGCTTCCACATGACAAATAGGACTTGTGACAATTGACGGAATGTAAACCGGACCCGTAGGTTGGGAGTTAGAGCCGAATACGCCCTAAACTTAATTGAAAAATGGTGATTCGGGGGCGAAAATTCAAAACAACCCCTGAACCACCGTGTGGCTCACACGGATAGTTTCTCCAGGGCAAATAGGACTTGTGACAACTGACAGAACGTAATTCGGACCCGTAGGTAGAGAGTTAGAGCCGAATACGCCTTACACTTACTCGAAAAAGAGAACAATAGTGTGACTCTCATGGACAGCTTCCCCATGACAAATAGGACTTGTGACAACTGATGGAATGTAATTCGGGCTCATAGGTTGGGAGTTAGAGCCGAATACGCACTAAACTTAGTCGAAAAATGGCGTTTCGGGGCCAAAAATTTAAAACAGGCCCCGAACGATCGTGTGACTCTCACGGAAAGCTTCCCCATGACAAATAGGATTTGTGACAACTGACAGAACTTAATTCGGACCCGTAGGTAGAGAGTTAGAGCCGAATACGCCCTAAACTTAGTCGAAAAAGGGCGCTTCGAGGGCAAAAATTCAAAATAGCCCCCGAACGATCGTGCGACTCTCACGGATAGCTTCGCCATGACAACTAGGACTTGTGAAAACTGACGGAACGTAATTCGAACCCATAGGTAGAGAGTTAGAGCCGGATGCGTCCAAAACTTAGTTGAAAAAGGGCGTTTCGGGGGTGAAAATTCAAGACAGTCCCCAAACCACCATGTGGCTTACACGGACAGTTCTCCCATGACAAATAGGTCTTGGGAGAATTGAGGGAATTCAATCTCGGCCCATAGGTTAGGAGTTAGAGCCAAGTATGCCCTAAACTTAGTCGAAAAAGGGCATTTCGGGGGCAAAAATTCAAAACAGCCCCCGAACCACCATGTAGCTCACACGGACAGTTCCCCTATGACGAATAGGACTTGTGAGAACTGACGGAACATAATTCGGACTCGTAGGTTGGGAGTTATAGCCAAATACGTCCTAAACTTAATTGAAAAAGGGTGTTTTGGGGGCGAAAATTCAAAACAGCCCTCAAACCACCATGTGGCTCACACGGACAGTTCCCCAATGACAAATAGGACTTATGAGAACTGACGGAACGTAATTTGGACCTATAGGTTGGGAGTTAGAACCGAATACGCCCTAAACTTAGTCGAAAAAGGGCGTTTCGGGGGTAAAAATTCAAAACAGCCCCCGAACCACTGTGTGGCTTACACAGACAGTTCTCCTATGACAAATAGGACTTCTGAGAACTGACGGAACGTGATTTTGATCCATAGGTTGGGAGTTAGAGCCGAATACGCCCTAAACTTAGTTGAAAAAAGGCGTTTCGGGGGCAAAAATTCAAAACAACCCCCAAACCACCGTGTGGCTCACATAGACAGTTCGCCCATGACAAATAGGACTTGTGAGAACTAACAGAATGTAACCCGGGCTCATAGGTTGGGAGTTAGAGCCGAATACGCCTTAAACTTAGTCAAAAAAGGGTATTTTGGGAGAAAAAATTCAAAACAGTCCCCGAACGACCGTGTAGCTCACATGAATAGTTCCCCTATGACAAATTGGACTTGTGAGAACTGACATAACGTAATTCGGACCCATAGGTTGGGAGTTAGAGCCGAATACGCCCTAAACTTAGTCGAAAAAAGGCGTTTCGGGGGCAAAAATTCAAAACAGCCCCCAAACCACTGTGTGGCTCACATGGACAGTTCTTCGATGACAAATAGGACTTGTGAGACTTGACAAAACATAATTCAGATCTGTAGGTTGGGAGTTAGAGCCGAATACGCCCTAGAGTTTGTCGAAAAAGGGCGTTTTAGGGGGCAAAAATTTGAAACAGCCCCTGAACGACCGTTTGACTCTCACGGATAGATTTCCCATGACAAATAGGACTTGTGACAACTGACGGAATGTAATCCGGACCCGTAGGTTGGGAGTTAGAGCCGAATACACCCTAAACTTAATCGAAAAAGGGCGTTTCGGGGGCGAAAATTCAAAACAACTCTTGAACCACCATGTGGCTCACACGGACAGTTTCTCAATGACAAATAGGACTTGTGACAACTGGCGGAATGTAATTCGGACCTGTAGGTGGAGAGTTAGAGCTGAATACGCCTTACACTTACTCGAAAAAGAGCTTTCTGGGGGCGAATATTCAAAACAGTCCCCGAACGACATTGTAAGTCTCATGGACAGCTTCCCCATGACAAATAGGACTTGTGACAACTAATGGAATGTAATCCGGACTCATAGGTTGGGAGTTAGAGCCGAATACACCCTAAACATACTCGAAAATGGGCTTTCCAGAGGCGAAAATTCATGACAGCCCCTGAATATGCCTTACACTTAGTCGAAAAACTTGCAACATTTTGTTAAAAAAGCAATAACTTTATTAAAATAACATCTACATATTCTAATAATTGCCTTTATATATTTGTAGGACGAAGAAATTACATATTACATTGTTTGTGCAATTGGTTGGAATAAATATTGCATGATACATATATATATACTTTCTTTTATTTTCAAGAAGATATTTCTCGATTGTTCTACCTTAAATGAGTGTTAGAACATGTTCCATATGGCTGACTGAATTGATATTTTGTAACCAATTCTAATGTTTCATTTTTTGTTTTTCTTTGTAGATGGCTTTGTTGCATGGACTTATAGATAATCCATATTGGTGTATGGAAAATAATTTTCACTTTTGTGTAGAACTAATATAATACTTTTGTCGTCCTCAACTTTTGTGTAGTTCATTATTACTGATACAGAAAACTTTTGGCAATCAATAGATAATGACTGTCGTGGTACATATATACCATTTGTCGGCGTACATATAGGATGTTTTGTCATGGTCCATAGAAAACTTTTGTCGTGGTACATATATCACCTTTTGTTGTGGTACAGATTCCGATGGTAATTTATACCATGCCAAATGGTAATTTCGCTTGGTAGTAAATGTATTTTTGTATACGGAGGGCTTTGATTTTTGTATGATATATTTTGTATGGAATTGTTATTTTAGTTTGGACAATAGTTGATTTGTATGGACTTTGATATTTAATGTTATTTATTTTAGGTATATGGATGCAGATTGTGGAATGATTGATAGTATGTATCATTTTGTTTATATACGTATTACAGGTTGCATTGTATATAGATAGGTTGTGGAGAAATTATAATTTCACGATAAAACATAATATCATATTTTTGGTGACTAAACAATTAGTAGCTAAAAAGAAATTGGGAAAAGACATTTGGCCACTAAAAGTTTTGTAGCCCAAAAAAAAAGACA